TTTGGGTTTTAAATAAAATATAAAAAAAAAAATATTTGAAAGTGGCCAGGTCGTATTGCCAAAATTAATTTATACATAACAATAAGGCCCTAATCGAAGCGCTATATTTAATAGAAATTTCTGCATTATCAAATTTAAATCACGTGACATAATTTTTATCACAAGAAGAGCATTAGCAACTTGATAATAAGGACTTCAACAATCATGTAAACTAACTTAAACAACTGTTCAGTAGTTCTCAGTAAATTTTAAGCAAGGCTGTCCAAAATGCTCTGTATAACAAACGACTTTCAATGAAGTAATTTAAACATGGCCATTTATACTTTGTAAATTATAATGCGTACTTTATTGAAATAAAGTCGTCATTGTCACTGTCACTGTCAAAAATCAAACACACTGTCTGGTTGACTGTAAATAAATACTCATATGGCAACAATTTTATCAGGCACAGTCTTGCTGGAGTCTTATACCTCTCAGCAGAACTGTTTTATTGATTCTGTTTAATAATGTAGCTAGATATACTACAATATTAACAATACTACATACATATTTTATAAGAATGATATATCAACCGTTAAAACATAGGAAAATTCATTTATTAAGTGATGTAGATAAAACACTGAACCTCATCTTCACTAAAGATGATGATCAGATATGAAACATAATCGAATAAAATACACTCAGGTCACCACATAATAAAGGCACAGATATGTATGCGCAGGGCTCCTGACCAACAAAATGTGTTCAGTTTTGAGGGTGCCTTCATCAAATTCAACTTCATTAACAAAAACATACAGTGGGATCAAGTCAGCCATGTCATACATAAAACAAGCCGGGAAGATATCCTAAACAACACTGATCCGAATCTTGTCTAAAAAGAATTAACTCTGTGGCTACTTAAGGTATGCTCAAGGCATATACCTTCATGAAAAAGGAAGAGAAGATGTAAACTAGAAAGAGAGAGAGATGCTCCCTATACAGGTGAAGGTGAAGAATCACGGAACTGCTGAAAAGGGCCAGTATATCTGAAATACGAAGGGAAGCAATGGGCAGAGAAATGGCAAATATCGAACTTAAGCTTAAGGAATTATATAGGAGACAAGAAACTGAAAGAAACTCAAAATATTTCATATGCCAAATCTAAGGAGAAAACAACATCCAGTATTGGACCCCTGCTTAGACAAGATGGGACCTACACAGATGACAGCAAGGAAATGAGTGAGATACTAAAGGCCCAGTATGACTTGGTGTTTAGTGATCACCTAACCAGTCTAAGAGTCGACAACCTAAATTAATTTTTTATGACCGAAACTCAGAATTTGGTAAATTCAAACATCTCTGTTATTATCCTAATACCACATGACTTCGAAAAGGCAATAAATGAAATGCTCGTGCACTCTTCCCCAGCCCAGACTCGTGGAACTCCGTGTTCATCAAGAACTGTAAGAAGCCCATTTCACGTGCCTTTAGCATTCTATGGAGAGGGAGCATGTACACAGGGGTCATTCTACAGTCGCTTCAAGATACATACATAGCCCCACTCCACAAAGGGGCAGTAAAGCAATAACAAAGAATTACAGACCAATAGTGCTAACGTCCCATTTCATAAAAATCTTTGAAATTATTC